CTTGGATGCAATCGCTTATACTCTATATTCAACTCACTTTCCTTCATCTCTTAGAAACACTGATCACTACTTTGTTAAAACTTATCAGCGCTTGAAATACACATATCTTAGTCTAACAAACCATTTACTAATCATTCTGATATAGAATATGCTATTAGTTTTGCATCAGTTATAGAAATTATATAAAAATAAGCCTTCATTTAAAATAATGAAAACTTTATCGCCAGTTATTGATTAGTTAACAACATTTCATTTTCTTATAAGACTTTATGTCAATATTTGAAGACTTTGTTAGAAGTTTGAGATTTAAACAACAATTTTGACAAATTGTTATGAAATGTGCGCTCAAATGGCAAAACTCGTTTATTATCGGCATTTCCAATGGTTTATATAATTATACGACAAATTACAATAAATTTATTTTTGTTATTAAAGTAATTTAAAATAATAACAAAACATTTTGATTAAAAATAAAATTATAAAAACTACTTTCATGACAAAAATAGATGTTTTACACAAACTGTTTACTCAAATACTGTTATTTATTAAACGAAAAACAATTTCTTGATTTCTTCTAAAAACTAAATTTTGTGAAACAAAAAACTATTTTTTAAATTGAAAAATGAAATCATAATTATAATGATTGCAATAAAATTAGCGATAATTTGACTGCATTCTCATTCAATGACTAGTAATATACGCAAAGTATTAAATAATAAGTTGAATAAATTGTATACAATATTATCAAATAACAGACATAATAGTAATTATAATAGAGTTAATACAAGTGATGAAGACATGGATGTGATCTCTGTGTTAAAGACAGGCCTCAAGTGATGTGACGTTACGTCAGAGGAATGAAAGACGCCTTTTATGCCATTTGAGGCAAAACTTGTCTTTCAATGCAATGCATCCCTCGATTCACAACAAAATGTTTTTACTCTGAAATGTGTTTATAATTTACAAATATATTTAATTTTATGTTTAATTATTAATTGTTTTCAAACATTTAATTATCTACTAATCAAGAAATGCCTGCTTTTCACACAAAGACCATCGAAAGTATATTAGAACCGGTGGCCCAACAGGTCTGTGTCTATCCATTCATGTCTGTCCTCTATGTCTATGTCCTCCTCCTCTTCCCTCGTCTTCCTGTCTTTACGATCAACTCTTTTGACCACTTTTTATCATTTAAACGCCTTTTTCTCAATTAAACTAATTTAATTAATATTAACTATTTTAACAAATTGTAACTCAATTTGTGATGAATTTGTATGGAAATAGTTGTAAAATGATGTAAAATGATGATGAGCAATTTAGTTATATTGTTATTTCAATTACACTATTTTCACTGTTAATATATTTTAATTATTAAATACTTTAATAATAACTTAAATCTAATGAAATATAATTGAAATGATTGTCTAAACGGACGAATAGGTCTCTCGATTAGTGATTCTTCACGAAGAGGCTGAAGATGGGAACGCAATGCCAGACCTGGAAAAGCCGGTGCAGGCCGTCAGTAGAGCTGTCACTAACTTAGTTAAAGTGGGAAAAGAGACCATTAATAGTAGTGATGATAATATCCTGCGTCAAGACATGCCGGCGGCCCTCCAGAGGGTCGAGAGAGCGGCCAAACTGCTCGAAGAGGCGTCAGCTCTCCTTAAGGACGATCCCTATTCACAACCCGCCAGAAAGAAACTCATTGAAGGCGCCAGAGGTTTG